ACTAAGTCTCTTGGTCCCCTGAGAAAGATATGGCCTTAAACACACAGAGTTTGATCCAAAAACAAAAGGACACCAAAGTTTACAAACTGAAACTGAGGTTCACAGAACGTTCATGAAAGTCACACTGACTAGTGACAAAAACACAGACGAACATGAATAAATATATGATGGGCCATGGACTAGGGTAATAGAATTCTCAGATGTCCCTTCTAATGGGGACAGTGCCTCTAGCAACAGATTCCTTTTAACTAAAGGGAGCAAGGCAAGCCGATCTGAGACGTGCTGCATCTGTTCCTGTTCCTTGCAGCCACCGTGATGCTAATCAGGTTCCATATTCCCAGCTAAATAAATCAGGAACAAAATCTAAATGCATAGTTGGGTGTGGGAGTAGTCCCTTCTGCTAATCTGTAACCCACCAACCCATCTGTAACTGCATACACCCTTTTTTGAGTTTCTTTATTATATCTAAAGAACACCTTGAAAACTCTACACCAGGTAGATTTCATAAGTTATATAGAAAGATCAGCAATTGAGTCATCTACCCTTACCCTCACGAGCAAAATCTCAAGGAATGTTGGGTGTAGAACAGGGTGACAAGGAAGAACTTCCATCCTGCTTCCCTAGAATAACTATCCATACGGGTGCCACATTAGGACCCTGGAAAAATGTGTTTCTGTATTTGATGAACACAAAGTATCATTTCTAATTCTGCAGCAATCTGCCCAATTTCTTAGATTGTCTGAGATGATTTGGGGAAAAAAAAAAAGAAAAATTAAAAAATAAATTCTTTCAAACTACTGAAAATATCCTGAAGTTAAAGTCTTTTTTGTTTACTTTAAATTCATATAACCTTTCTTCTAAGGAGAACAGAAAATTTCAATGTACAATCTATTCCAGAGAGACACCTTGCTTTTAAATTTCTAATCTGAGAAATGTTTTCAAACTATAAGCTAATATCTTCAAGCTATAACTATCAAAGTCCATGTAGGGAGAGAAATTTTGATAAACTTGTCAGTCCAAGGTCAGAGCAACTGGGTGCTCCTCTTATAATCTGTCAATTAGAGAGATGGGACAGTAAAAATATATGCTTGATGATTGTGTAGACAATAACACAGCACTGATACATTATGCGTCTTTAGCTATGAGACTTGATATGTATCTACAAGGTCTGTCCCTGGATCCTCCGCTTTTGTTTGAAAAGAAGCTATATCAAATTTCAAACCTCAGGTTGGTAAGACTCCTATGTCAATAAAACCCACCTGTACAAGAAATTGCTTTCATTAATGGTGTTTAATGACTTTTTAAAATTAATTCATAATTTGAAATAAGGTATGTTCACTAATGCAAAAAAATGCATTATGTACTTCAAGTATTGGTTAACTTATGATAAAAAAAAAAGCATACTTAAATTAGAATACTCAGTTGAGTAGGGTTCTTCTTAATCCCAGAGGATATGTCTAATATGTAAATATATAGCGATAAAAGTAATCATTCCATGTAACCCAACATGAAAATCAATAATAGAAATAAAGCTATTAATTAATTAAATCACTATAGAAATCAGATACCAATCCTGCAAACCTTCGCAAATTTACAGACTGAACGAAGATCACAGGAAGAATAAGCAATGCACATTTCCGACCTCTAATATGAATTCAGGAGACTAGACTTTAGTTTCCCTGAAGTTGTGAACAATTTTTAAATATGCTTTATAAAACTTCATATTTTTTAAGCATAACTCTGCTAAAAAATAAAAGGGGGGGATTAATCTAAAAACACTAAATTAGCTTTCAAATCAGTCATTCAACCCACTGATAAGTAATGTTGGTAACCTGAGTTTATGTGTGTGATCTTATATCAAGTTCTTACAAACCAGTAGGAGATAGATTTAACCAGGATGCTCTAGCACATGCTAATATGTCTGACTGTACACACCTACCTCAACTGAGAAGCAGGTATGTTCCATTCTGGCAATTTAAATCTTTAAAAATTAAATTAAGAATTTATTCAGGCTGCACTATGAGAAAATATTTATTCAATGTAATCTGCTCTTAGTGCATTCGATTAGTATACTTGATATTGTTTATTCTTTGAAAATGTAAATTCATAGAAAAATTGTCCAAAATTAAGTAAATTAACTTTTTGCATTATAAAAACCATTTATTTTATAAAATTGTGCTTACGATTTAAAAACTATAAAAGGGAAGAGAAAAACAGTCCACATTTCACTCCCCTTTCTCTAATAAATATTATACAATATTTTCATACACAAAACTTATGAAAATATGTAAATTATTTTATAAAGTATCAAGTCTTTAAGTCTCTAAAGCAATCACTTATATGATACTCTCCTTAAAATTGTTATTGGAATTTTTTAGACTGTCATATGAAATCATATATTTTTATTTGGTCTTTCACTTAAGGATACAAATCCTCATTGCTATGCCAACAATTCTGTTTCTTCATTTTTATGACACACTTCATTACTTTATATAACTGAAGTATAAAAATGCACACAAATGAAGTATAAATAGAGATCAACTATATTCAACATGAAATATAAATTTATCAATCACTCATTTTTGGTTACATTCAGTCTCCCAGTTCTAATAACTTATTAGTGCTTTAACTTTGGACATAAAGTAAGGATTGCAGCTCAAGCAGTATTACCAAGACACAGAGACATATAAAGAAAAATGGGTATATTATTCAAACCATTTATTATAGATTTTAATTTTAATCATTGTCAAAATAACATATTTGAATAAAAACATTTAAGAATGATGTCTATTTTTAAGATGATATGGAAATGTTTCAACACATTTGCATTTGGATAATTTTCCCACCATGGGATGGATATAACTGCCTTAATAGGACTCCTGATTTCAATTAAATACTTTAATATAATATGAAATATTATCTTTGGATCAGACATAATCCACTACTAGCACAAACCCATGTCATATCTTCTAAAATTTTTCCTTCAGATTTAAAAAGTTGACTATTGCAGTGAATAAAACAGACGTATTTCTCCACTTTTTATTATTTAATTCATACAACTCCAAATAATCTAAAGTATAGACAAAACAATTATGATTCCTGTGAATGGCAGATGACAACTTACTCTTAAATAAGTCTTAAATCTATAAAAAACAGTGATTGTCAACTTCACCCAAGCAGAACAGAAAGTTTTAATATATAATCTATTCCTAAGGGAAGATCTTGCCTTTACTGAGGGGGAGGGGAAGATAAAATATTCATTAATTGTGGCAATATCCAGAACTTCAATCACAGTGGACTCAAATTTTATGCTAAACTGTTTAAATATTTTTTGTCCTTACAGAATTTCAATTGGTTTTTCCATAAAAGTTTCATCATTTCATCACTACATTTTAAAAATGTCTTTGCAAATAAAAACAATTGATTTAAAATTTTTTTAAAAGAATTTCTTTCCTACTTCCTAGTAAGAATTATATATTGCTCACCAATTATAACACATCATCCCCTCTATTTGTTTTAATATTAAACTTTAAATAGTGGGAAATGTTTTTTTGAGCACACAAATGAATGCAAAGACGAACAATGAATCACCGGTGTGTAAAGTCCACATTGTTTAATGAACAGTAACACTCGGGACTCTTCAGAATGAATCAATTAGGTGAATGGGTTAAAAAAAAATTTTTTTTTAAGTAAGGGAAGTTCCCTTACTTTCCTATTAACTTTCCTTGCATCAGTCATATTTAAGAGTTGCAATATTTATCTTTAAACAAGGAATATCTCCCAATGTCTGTGGACACACATGTGAGATGGAATTCTATTCTTAGACTTGTTACAATTTTCCCTATAATTAGGAAGCTATATGTCCCTGATAGAATGACACTAACAAGCTCCTGCAGTTTCTACTCCAGCAAGAAATCAAAGAGACCCAAAACAGACAACTCACTTCAGTTAAAGGATTATGCACTCTGGTTATTAAAGCATAGAAATCTCTTCTACAGTTTTATAACTGAAGAGACTTTCTGAAAGAGTCAGATTCTATAGCTAAGATTATTTATTAAATAAAGAAGAAAATTAAAGAATGGTCATGGAATGTGTTGGGGGAAGATGTATACATAAGTTATTAGAAGAGGCTCATTTTAGATAACCTGTACACTTTGAAACTTTCTCAAAGAAAGATGGAAAGATACCGTTACAACAGACACTTTTTCCTACTTGTGATTTTTCATAGAATATCAACACTCATCCCCATTTAGTGATGGTTACTATTATATTACATTTACAGAGAGCCTTCATCTGTCTTAGAATACAAAGCCATGGAGAAATCAATGGAGCAGGCATTGATAAACATGATTCAGATAGGTCAATAGGACCGAATACATGTTCAGATAAATAAAACACCTAGAAAATGGAAAATGTTCTGGAAGAGGGCTTGGCCCAACCAACAAGAGCGACACTCACGTACCTTAAGGACTTCCATCGGCACCTGGGTGGCAGAGGGTAGGGTGGTGGGCACACTGACGTTTATGGCTGGTGTCTGACTCACAGGCACTCTCTGTTGCATGAACTGGGCCGCCTGCAGCTTCTGCTGCTGCTCCCTGCGCTCCTGCTCCTGCATCTGCTCACGCATGAGTTGCTGGCGTAGCAAGATGCGTGATGTCATACTGGAGGAGCTTATTGGAGGCTTGGAGGCCCCAGGATGCTCCTCGGAACTGCTGTGGGAAAACCAAAAAATGTACATTTAGTTTCCTAATGAGACCCTTCATTTGCATTTTGGGGTACCCTAAATTGCACCAAACTATGAAATGAGCTTGTGCAAATATAATCAAGTTGCAGAATAGTACTCCACATAATCGAAAATCAAGAGGTGACAGGACTGAAGTCATTAGTAGTTGAATTAAAATAAGTCAGCTTGATTACATCTAGGCATTTTTATCATGCAGCTTAAATTGTTTTTTTTTTTTTTGACATTTTATACCGCATACTACTCATCACCACCAAATATAGCGCCGCCATACGAAGTGCCAAGAAGCAATGCATCTTAATGGCACCCAGATTTCCACATTTAAAAATAAATTGCTTGATTTGCTTTTTTATAACTGAATCTAACCCAATAACTACTTCTATGTTATTCGAATTCCCTGAAGATGTCTAAAATGTTTACTAACACAGATGTGTTTAAAGAAAAGCTGAATTTTGCCATGGGGAAATTTTTCTATGATATGGGAGGTAAAAATCATTAATGAAAGAAACATCTGGACCAGAATGTTAACACTGAACTCGACCTCAGTCTTTAGGAAAGAGGGCAGAAGACAAGCTGGTCTGACAAACCAATTCTTCTCTGCCTGGCTTTCTTTGTACCGTCTTTTCTTCCAACTCATGGTGGTATGCCCTCTCCTACATGCACTCTGCAAGTTCCCCTTCAGGCCTATTTCTAATGGTTTTGGGATTTAACTCTCTCCGAAATTATTTTAAATGCTTAAATGTTACTCATAAGTTAAAAAGAAAAGACTTCCTAATTTTCCTAAATATGGTTTTCAATTGCTTATTTTGCCAGTTCTATGACATCGACCAGTTATTAAACCTCTCTTTGCCTTTATCATATCCAGGAAAAAGAGACAGCAATAGTTTTTTGTTCAATTATCCATTTATCAAAGTAGGAGGTGTTTTTAAAATTTCTATTGCAATCATTATATTTTAAAACTATAGCTCATAGGGATTTTGTGAGGATTAAATAAAAAAATAAACAAACTAATTCACATAAATCCCCTCGTACAATGAGCACCATGTAGTACTGCCTCAATAAACAGTCACTGTTGCTATGATTATAATCTAGAAAATTAAATTTTTTATTTCTAGCAATAAAATTTTCTAAAAAATGTTTAGGGCAAACAGTACAAAACCTTAGCACCTGGAAACAGAAAAAAGTAACATTTGAGAAAATATTCACTGTTCAAGGAAAGCACCTTTAGCTTCCTTCCTTGAGTATAAATTCCAGTATTGTCTTTACTTTTTAATAAGAGTCAAAATAAAGCCTTTAAATCATTGACCATCCTCATAAACTCCTTTAAGATAAGAACCTTCAACTCTGCAGATAATGAACATGCTAAAGAATGAAGAAATGTTTGTGTTTCACCCTCATACAGTTCTGGAAAACTACCTAATAAACATTATGCTAGCAGTTTACTTACTACTCACCACAGGAAACTGTTTCAGTAAATCATGATAGGTTCGTATAATGTAATACTATGCAGCCGTTAAAAATGGTGTAGAAATATATTTATTGTTCTGAATAAAAACTACACAATACTCCAGATGCAAAATAGTATTCAAGGTATGATACAATTTTTAAAAAATATTCACTATGTGAAAAAATATGATAATGTTACTCTGAGCCATTGCTGGTATATACTATCACAATCCTTTAGAGAACAATTTAACAATATTACCAAAAGCTGTAAAATTATTCATACAATTCGATTAAAAAATTTCAATGGCAATTTTCCTATGAAAATAATTCAAAATGTAGAAAAGTTGACATTACAAATCTATTTTCAAATTACAAAATATTCTGAACCACCTAGATTTGACCCCTAATATGAAAATAGTTAAGTAAATTATGAGGGGAGATACTGGTTAAAGGATACAAACTTTCTGATATGAGATAAATTCTGGGGATCTAAAGTACAGCATGGTGGCTATAGATAATAACACTGCTATACATACTTGAAATTTGCCAAGAGAGATCTTAAATTGTTCTCATTACAAAAAAATAAAATAAACGGTAACTGTGTAAAGTGATGGATGTATTATTTAGCTTGATTGTAATCATTTCACAATATATACATGTATCAAATCATCACATTATATACCTTAAATATATACATTTTTTGTCAATTATATCTTAACAAAGCTGGGGAAAAAATAAAACCATTTAAAAGATTTAAGCATAAAATAGGTTAAAAAAGTAAATCATAATACATGAATGATACATGAACTTGATAATATACTATTTTTTTAATTACACAACTACAGAGCAAAGTGAGAAATGCATATAATAAGAGTAAATTAAAAAGTAGGATTCAAAACTGCATTTACATTCTAATTTAAAGTAAGTAAAGTATGCGTGTGCTCACAAATACACACACATGACTGTCAGGGACTATATAATTAAAGTTGCCAGAGTGGGAGTGGAATTACAGGTAAATTTTTTTTTACCTTTTTCCCCTAAACTAAATAGAGCTATAATGATTTTTTTAAATGACACTAATTTAAGAACATGAAGGAATGACTTGAATGACCAAAGTCACCATTTGGTTAGAAGAAAGGAGACTGGATCCATCAATGACCATATTTTGAGAACAGGACGGGAAAGTAGTGACTAATCCAGCATATTGGTTCACTTGGAAATCTTTAGCATCCCAGAAGAGTTAAATCCTTTTTCCTTTAGTTTCCTACAGACACACACAGATTGAACAATCTTGATACCCTGCTTATGATTTTAATATCAGAATAAGAATACTTAGGCATTACTCAAAATAATCTATTCACCAGGTTAAGTTCTACTAAAAGAGCATCAAAAGAAAACATACTTTCCCCCTTTAGTATGTGTTCAAAACCAAAATGTACTTTCCTAAACCAAGAAAAGAAGGGCGGGGGAAGGGTTGGGAGGGGCAGGTATTTAAAATAAATAAATAAACGGTCTTAGTATTCAAAGCCTGTCAGGTTAAAACATTCCCAGAGAGGCTGATCCTTTTGATAAAAACAGGAGCAAACCTTTGTGCTGTAGCAAATGCAGCTGTGGAATAATCGCACTAATTAGCTGCTCAAGACAAGCCATTGGCTGTAATACGGAGGGAAAAATCCTTTCAATTAACAGTAAAACATTCTTGAGACATGTTAAATTAAAATTACTAGTTATCAGCTACATTAAGGTTTCAGACTTTAAAGTCGACAACAATATAATTTAAAGCATTTACTGAAAATATCTCGTCAGGAAAAAAACACACGTATTTATACAGGAGACCCATATAAATAAATGGAAATCCCACTAAAGAAAATCTAGCAGGGCTCGTTAATTGACATTAATAATAAATCTCACCCCCCACACACATACATACACACACACATACACAAAAACCATGCAAAGGAAGATTGTAGTCACTTCATTGCACATACTCCCTGCAGGATATTTCTACATCGTTAAGATGACTCCCGGATTCTCAGCTTTACTTTCGATCTTTTAAACATCCTTTTCTCATAGAAATAATTGAATCTGCAATTATCACCTTACAGATAAAAATAAAGATATCTACACTTCCAAATGTTAGCAAGACAAATGAGCATAATGTTTTAAACTCAAAATCGAGGTTTACATGAGACCATTACAGGTGGCCACAAAGTGTATTTTTAAAATGAAGACCTGGTATTTTAGACACTAATAGCAAGCAAAGAGAGCTGTCCAAATGAATGTATTTAATTTTAAAAGCTAACTGAACTCATCCAGGGCCCAAGAAACTCTATCTGTGTTAGATAATACTAATTCCATGAGTCTGATTCCTTTTAATCAGATTATGTAAAGGTCATTTATTCAATAAATAGTTGAGTGTTTCCTCTGTGCCAGGTGCTGGGAATACCTGGTTTCTAATCTCATAGAGTTTAAAGCCATGGTCATATAATTTTTATGAGATGCCTTAAAATTAAGTCAATTATCTAGATTATCCGACTCTTATCTAGTTCCACATGGGCAGGTATGGATCTCATCATAAGAAATTACTCTTTGAAAGCCAGTTGAAGAAGAGGAAAATGCCTTTACTGGCACTCATCCGAATCACTGAAGCCAGACACACAACTTCCCTGAGAACTGGGAATTGCTCAACAGTGACTCAAGGAGATGGCCATCAATTGGGCTCAAATTCAGCAGTTACTGCCGAGCATGGTGATATTTACAGAGCAACTCCACTTCTCTGGACCTCTCTAAAATGCTCCTCCCCAAGGTACTGCATTCACTGAGTACTCAACCTACAGCTGCACTATGGATGCTAGGTAGCCACTAAATGTAATGAGTTCCTACCCTAATGGCCGAATTTACTTTTTTAACTTTCAAAGCTTCTCCTTTCTCTGTGATGGTAGAGGTGTGTGGACATGCGCTCCAAATTATCTGGTATATTCCTAAATTCAAATAGTTAATTCCACTACCTTCATTAACCACTTAAGTATATCATAAATTCCATTCAACCCATTACCCCAGCATCCAAATGACATCTACCCGAACACTCCTCACCTTTGACAATGATGCCAAACTCCTTAGGCAGACCTAAGAATCAGTTTTTGGTTTCTCCATATCAGGGTCATCCCAGATAGGAAACTGTTGTCAGTTGAAATTTAGTCTTTAGGCTGAAGGAACTGATAAACTTTTCCCTGTACTTCCTCTCGTCATTTCCTCAGGCAGAATCCAGTTCTGCGAATTACTAACCTGTAGTCATGCCCAAGTTAGGCTATCGCTGAGCTTCGATTTTCCTTATTTATAAAGAGTGTTTAATACATCTGCCTGTCAGCACTGTGATGAGGATTAAAATATGTAATAGATGTAAAAAAACTAAGTGCAGTGACTGGAACATATTCCAATAAACTGGAACACAGTTCAAAATTAGTAGTAAAAAATAGTATTAAACCATGAACATGCTAATTCTTTCCCGATGTAAGAAGGCAATTT